ATGTACCACGTCCACGGTCCGACTTTAGAAGCGATCATGCGTACAATAGACTCCAGACTAGGTGCGTTCCTCTAAGTCTTCCTACCAATACGACCAAGTTGCGAAAACAAGATCAAACAACCTCTATACAACGAACGGAGACTGTGACCACATAAAACTCCACACCATCTTGGTCTTCATACACTCCATATTAATTAGATAATCATTATTTACATATATATATATATATATATGTTTATGGCCAGCCGAGGACTACTTCATCCAATCCACCAGTCTCCACTCTGAGGCACTCCTTCGGATGAGGCCAATTCACCAATCATTTTTCAACAACTTTTTCTTGAAAATGAAAAGCCTATTTAGATCATCCCAATTTTTCATATATATTTAATTAAAGGTATGAAGACCAAGATGGTGTGGCCTTTTGTGTGGTCGCAGTCTCCTCTTGTTGTATAGTGGTTGTTTGACCTTGTTTTCGCAACATGGTCATGTTGGTAGGAAGACTTATTGAAACGCACCTCGTCCGGAGTCCATTGTCTGCATGATCATTTCCAAAGTTGAACCGTGGACATGGTACATTCCCCAAACGTTTCGCCGGCATCGTCAGTGAGTATCGCCTTCCTAAGCACCATACAGCTACTCGTCTTGTCTCTTTGACGAGTAGCTGTATGGTGCTTAGGATGGCGATACTCACTGATGATGCCGGCGAAACGTTTGGGGAATGTACCACGTCCACGGTTTAACTTTGGAAATGATCATGCAGACAATGGACCCCGGACGAGGTGCGTTCTAATAAGTCTTCCTACTAACATGACCATGTTTCGAAAACAAGGTCAAACAACCTCTATACAACGAAAGGAGACTGCGACCACATAAAACGCCACACCATCTTGGTCTTCATACCTTCGATCGAATAGTTAGTAGTGTCTGAACTTCGCCAATTTAAATTAAAACGAGTATTTTGCCATTACATTAGATCACACTACTTATATTCGTGGTGAGTAGATAATATGTCCCAAAATACACGTACGAGGTGCCCATTGGAGTTGCCGATGCGGTTGAAACTGCTGTACATCATAAATGAGAATACCTTCTGGAGGGCAAGGCTAAGGGAAATGCAATGCAATCTAGATCTACTGGCAATGTAAGGATCTCTTAATTGTGAACTTGTTTTTTGTCTGCAAACCAATCACTATATTTGGTAGACCGATTTTGACTGTCATACCCCGATTGGCCATGATGTTCGCTTTCATGCTTCATTT